AACGGCTCGAGCATGCGAGTGTGAATGTTCGCGCGAGAGAACGTGTCTAATCGGGCGAAACTGCGCAACGTGGCCGTTGAAAACTGCGCAACGCAGGGTTGACTCTGCCCCGATACGCCCTCCTCCATTCCCCCACACCTACCCACCACTTCACCATCGCGGATGTTTTTTTTTGTACTAACAATGAGATCATCGGCACGCTCCAGCTCCGTCCACTTTTTCATTCCCCAATGGCTGTCGAGCGGGGGAGGGTTTGGGGGAGGGCGTAAACACGACCAAGCCACAAATCCTTTAAATTCCGACCTCCTTTATTAGAGATTTCGCCAAAATCGTCAAAAACGACTCCCCTTGCCATAACCACGACCCCTTCAACTTCTACAATTCGACCTTCTGTTCCTTCTTCCCCCAAATATGATCAACTTTTTCAACCCCAAGTACGCGCTCGTGCCAAACTCGCGAATCCCCCTTGTTCTATTAGTGCGAATTGAAGGTGAACCGTGCTCCAGACTAAATTTGTAGCAATAAAGCAACTAAAAAACTGAGACAATAACTTCAATGCCTCACCACTTAAATTTTTGACTGATTTTATGGAAAAAATCACCTCCTCAATCGTCTCATCCCACTTGATCGTGTTTTCTGGACGTAGCAGCGCATTGACGACGTACCTGACGTACGATGGTTTCCATAGCAGGTTCCTTAAAAAAAGGCATGATGAACGAAAAATTCGAACAAATCTTATCGCTGAACAGTTTAGGAGGGAGAGAAGCAGCAGGTGAAAAGAAAACAAAGGAGGGAAAAGATGGAAAAAGGTAGATAAGTAGACGACGGTGCAACGAGTGAGCTCCTTGGACGGAATACGCTCAATAATCGGGCAACCTCCCGTCTTGCCCCGCCACCCCTACCACCCATTTCCCGCCTTCGTGGATTTCGATCAACGCAGTTGACCCCCGAGGTGCTGTCTTAACGGACACCCAGGTTGATGATTTAATACAACTAGACTGCTTAATCTTGACAAGGCAGGATCGAGTTAAGCTCTACAGTAATCCTGAGTATGTTCTAAGCATCCTGGGGCCTGTAGTGCCCGTTGTTAGCCAGTCCGAATAAAAATTCGGGTGGCTCGACCAGTGGGGTCGATACCGTTTCCTATCGATAGAAAGGCGGTTTCCTGGGCAACCTATCACCACAGTTTCAACAGGCAGTAATCATTATATACGTTCCAGGCGCAGGCTGGTGTGTAGTGTGGGTCTAACATCGCCTATCCGATGGGCTGATGTTTATAAGAGAAAGTGCTCTGAGTCGGTTCGACTATGATTTCTTTAGAGCGCGGTAGTCGAAGTTTGTAATCAAACCCAAGTTTTCTTCTTGCAAACGCTTCCAACTTCATGGCACCTTTCGCTTCCCACGTTACCCTGCTAGAGGATTTTCCTGAACTCCACCACATTTTAGTACCCTTTGAATTGTCTGCAAGCTTACCGACCAATGGCGTGTTCATTGCACATCTTGTTGCATATGCAACCTGATGATAAAAGTTTTCAGGTATGCTCTAAACGATCTTCTCGACTTCTGCGTTTTCATGTACCTAGGAGAGAGAATCTCTACATCGTTAGCCAAGGCATCCACTTATTGCGTCTGGCATGGCGTGCACGCGCCAATGGGGTTAGGAGTACACATAAATAAATTATCGACCGGCTAATTAGTTCTTAGATATTCGAGCATGTTACAATCAACGCTCCAGCCTCCCACCGTGCATATCAAACGTCAGCTTCTAGCAAAAATGGGTGTGCTTATGGAGCGGTTTAGCCAGCGCATCAACGAAGTGCAAACTTCTTGCTTGATGGTGGAATCTCACGCCCCACCTGTCCATTTTCAGGGAAGCTATCCGTGTCATGCGCGCGGAAGCGTGCGGAGCTGAACTGGTGAAGAATAAAGCTTCGGTGTTGATCAATCTCGTCTTGTTATGCACCGCCATCTACCCTTCATTCATAATCCGAGTCGGCAGTTTGAGTGGATGGACTGTAATTCAGTGAACCGCGGGGTCCCGCGATTTACTCGAGTCGATTTAGTAAATCTCATTTTTGTTCCCCAGATGAGTCTGGCACCAATTATCCCGAGACTGGAAGAGATGATAAGCCGGACTATGCACTGGACCTAAACAGGAAGTCTTTTCAGGGCGTGACAGAGCTTTTGAAAACGGGTCTTTGTTGCAATGATATAGCGGGGCACGATGGCCCAGGGACAACACAGAAGCATTATGTTTAATTATTCTCGAACGGAACCCATCGGAAATGCAGACACAACGGAAGCGTACTAGTTCGATTCACTCTTGTGACGATGAATTGTTTGCATCTAAGAGTTGACGATTTCTCAAAACATTCCCCTACACAGTGCACAATTTTGGAGTTAAGCATGAGATAACTTCGTATAATGTATGCTATACGAAGTTATTACGTATGATTAGGGCCGTCAGTAACTCCTACAAAAAGACTTTGACTTAAAAATTGGTGTGAGAGGTGTGACATCAAGCAGCCCCACTGTGGTGTCACACCTTTTTCACCAGTTTTTTAATCAAAGTCTATTTGTAAGGGTTACTGACGGTCCTAATCATGAATATGGTACTGATTATTCATGCTAACTCCATTTTGCGCGAATTTTGGCACGTCAACTCGAAATGCAAAAATTTGTTACCACGAGGAATCGAACTAGGGACCTCCTTTTCTGGTATTCAGAGGGCCGTTCAGGAAAAATTGAACATGGTTCTGTGGTTCCCGCATCTGCCCCTATATCATGCAAAAGACCGTTTTCAAAAAGCTTGTCACGCCCTGAAAGACCTTCCTGGTAAGACATGATCGCGTGATAAGCAGCGCCCTTGCCACTGTACCACTTCCGCCCGATCGAAATAATACTCGCATCAATCCCTCTCGAGAACAGTCCCCTTTGCAACCTCAGGTAGGAAGACCTTTGCGATTCAAACAGCTAGCAAATGGGAGTATAGGCTTAAGATTTGCTGCCATAAACATCTCAAGCAATCATGCGCCCCCACCATTGCGGTGTCTGCTGTCTTGTTCCATGCCATGCTCCTTCGCCGTCTAATCCCTCGCCTAAACATCCACACTTTCGTACCATTAGACTATTTTCTTCCAAACTCAAGTGTGTATCTCAGCATGATGCATTTGGGGTAAAGCGGTCCTTTTTTGAAAACTCCATGCATTCCAGTACCATTCAGAATTGTAGTGGCACCTTGAATGCAACCTGGTCCAGAAAATGCTTTACGGGTAGGGTCAACCATCCGTTCGCACTTAACGAACGAAGGGGTCGCATTTTGGGGTGGATTAGGGTTATCATAGTGGGCGGAGTTTGTCAAAAGGGGTTGTGTTGGACGAGTTTCTTGACGAGTATGGTGAAAGTTTTACGAAAGTAGTGAGAATTAGGCAACTGGTGGATTTGCCATGATACCAACTTACTCCTATTCCACCCCTCCCCGCATCTACAGCAGTTTTTGAAGGAAAAGTAGGCGCAGTTGCTGTGGCGAGGTAAGGGGGATCCTAATGGGGAACCTTCTAGAACTGGTTTGTTACTATGAGTGGAAGTGGTGGTGAGGTGTAGCATCGAGACCACCTAAAAGGAGGGGGGAGGAGGGTCGCCAAATATTCGAAAAAGAGCGACGCGAAGGTTGACCACATCTCCGGGGGGGGGGGGGGGACGATGCCATAGGTCAGTGTTCTTCACCTCCCAGACAGGTATGGTACCGACTAGCCAACCCTGGATGGTGAAGAGGCCTGGTTGTGACTGACACAAAGAATATAGAAGGTCTCCCTAATATACACTTGGGCCAACTTGGGCTTCGTTAGATCCTAACCCAACACACCCCACCAATGAAGTCAAACTGACTACAGTCAGGACTAAAGCTGCCATGTTTCTGCACGCTTCTGTCTCTCCTGTTTGGCAGAGCGGTAATTATGTGATGCGTCTACAAACAGAGCAAATATAGCCATGCACAAAAAGTTTATTTCATCAATCGCTAATCAGGCTATGATAAGAACGATTCGAAATTTGCACAAAAAATAAAGAGAAATACACGTGGCTGAAAACGTAAAAACAATGAAACAAACTTCGCTGACAACAAATTGATTAAAATTAACACGGCCACCGGTTAGCATTCGGCCTGACCAATCGAAAGAATCGAATATCGATTAGAGCATAAACTACACACTGTGGCTCTGGTCTAGAGATCGTCATCATCATCGGGCAAGTCAGCATCTGCAGCCTTTCTCAAATCGTCCTCGTACTGTGCAACCATCGCTGGATCCATCGTAACCTATGGAAAAATGTATAAGCTTTCACAAAAATTTAGCTAACACTTAAGCAATAAAAAATAGATTACCTCGGGTGGAGCAAGTGCTGGCATAGCCACGAACTCTAGATTAGGGTCACCGAGGAGCTTGCGAGCCAACCACAGGAACGGCTTCTCGAAGTTATAATTGGATTTAGCAGATATATCATAATATTGAAGATTCTTCTTGCGATGGAAAGTGATCGTCTTTGCTTTCACTTTTCGATCTTTAACGTCAACCTGAAGGATTCAAAATACAGAGAACTAACATGATCTATGTACTCAAAAAGTAGCGATATGCAGGTGCAGAAAGCTTCACTCAATCTAAAGTGAAATAGCCAAAGCTTCAATGACATTTCATTTACGACAATGATTTTGGACGGAGGAATTCAGTACATGGCGATGAATCGATGGCTGTCGGCAGCTGCTGACATAAGCAGTAACAAAAATACTGAACAATGCATATCGATCTGTACAAACAGGAATGCCTACTGGGGAAAGTAAATCCATTTGACTGAAAAGCAAGCACCCTCAAGCAGAATAAGCATTGGATTTTCCTGCTCCAGTCTGGTTACTGGACGATTTCAATGTAGCGCGCATCCTTACGGTAAAATGTTCATACTTTGCGAGTGCCTTGCACATCTTTTGATGGCAAGATCGCACAATCGATACTATCTGCTCCACACTCGGACTGTAAGACCGTGGCAAAGTATGGCCGTACCCTGAGTGACTGGTTATCCATACCATAACATTCTGAAACTTCCATTCTTTTGACTTCTACCTCACTTATTGACCATTCTGGTCACTTCTCGCAGATTTCCAATTGAACACACAACCCACTTCAGAGCTGCCTCTGCCCACTGTGGGAGAAACTACTAATTCTGTTACTCTGGAGCACACTCGACCCACCGAGAAGGGGGCCCAACCGTCTCTTCCAATATCTGCCAGTCTTGTAACCGTCCTGGGGCCGTAAGATATGCTTCCCCGAACAGGAGAGGGACCCCTCCCTGGTAAGGTATGCTCTCCCCGAAAACTCTCGGGAAAGGCAATGCCACCGGTTCTCGGGATGTCTCCCGGACTGCATGTCAATCATGGGGATATCTCCCCGATTGCATGTCAATCGGGGAGATATCCCCGAGAACCGGTGGGCGTGGCCTTTTCCCGAGAGTTTTCGGGGAGAGCATACCTTAAGCCATAAGCTTCCCTCTCCTGTTCGGGAAGTATACCTTACGCCCCCTAGAGCCCTCGCTATGACCCTTCGTAGGGGACCGCTTCGGCGCATACTGCAGTCAACGTGAGTGGGTCCCCTTCACCGTAACTCCTCGGTTACAAACGTTCAACATTATTAGAGTTTCACAAGAATGCTGGTTGTGAACAAAACTTACTCCCAGGGAATTTACGTATACCATGAAAAGCTGAGTTGGAATGAAATGGTGCCCCGGTAGCGTAACTGGTAGCGCACTTGCCCGGAAAGCGAGAGGTGCGGGTTCTAGTCCCGCCTGGGGCGAAAGTTTTGTTCACAACCCAGCATTCTTGTGAAACATTCGCAACGCGAACTGCGGCGTTAAAACAGCAGTTAACAAACAAGTCACAATTAGAGTTGTGTACGAGAGCACAGACCGCAACATATCCGTAAAATGGGAAAAATCCATGTCTTCGAAGGTCTACATTGTAGATCGGAATAGCAAAATTGTACATAGTACTGCATGATAACCGCTATCTTCATCAAATTCAATACGAGAACACCTTCCAGGGAAATATGAAGAGAGTATACGGCAACAGTCTCGACGGGCCAATTCATGTCCCTGTGACAACGAACATGGCTGCTTCCTTTGATACCATCAGAGACTTATGGTAGTTACCGTGATACGAGGTGAATATTTAAAGAACTTATGAGGGTATACACAAAAAAGAAGCTTATTGCATTCTTTCCCATGAAAGCCCCACCCATTACATTTGCCTGACAATTTTAGAGTTCGGGAGAAACAAAAAAAGCTGTACAAACGGCTTCATATACAAAACTTACCTTATTTCCGCACAGCACAATAGGAATGTTTTCGCAAACTCGAACCAAATCACGGTGCCAGTTAGGAACATTCTTGTAAGTGACACGGGCTGTTACGTCGAACATAATGATTGCACATTGTCCTGAACAACTTGGTTTCAATGAGAAGTCAATATAGCATGTGTGAAAATCAATTGCACCTTGAATGTAATAGCCATCACGCAAGCCGCCGAATTTTTCCTGTCCAGCAGTGTCCCATACGTTGAATCGAATTTGCCCTCGGTTAGTATGGAAAATAAGAGGGTGCACCTCCACTCCAAGGGTTGCTAAACAAAACAAATAAGGAAAACAAGGTAAAATAGAGAGGAAACTGGTGTGAAAAAGAAACTAGCACTAAGTGAACCCACCGACATATTTCTTCTCGAATTCTCCAGTCAAATGGCGCTTAACGAAGGTTGTTTTTCCTGTTCCACCATCACCTACCAAGACGAGCTTGAAGGTCGGGATCCCGTCACCAGCACCTGCCATCTGAACCAAGCCTTGCGTTCAAGTCGATATCAGCACAACAATAACTTGCACACTGACGAAACAACCACGTTTGAAACGGATGACTCAAACTATCGATGCTATTTAACAACAGCGACACCGAACCTTTCATAAATTCAAAGGATATGGCTTGATCAGCGACTGTTAACTAACGTTGCCAAATATTTAGTAGTAATATTTGGCAACGTTAATTAACAGTCGCTGATCAAGCTACACCCTTTGAATTCATATATACTATAGTAATTCAGTACTATTTCACAATCCAACCTTAAAATTTTTACAGCTGACGAACTTTGTTCAAAATAACAGATAAAATAAAAACGAGATAACGAAAACAAAAAAGAAAAATGGAGATGAGACAAACAAAAAGACATCTAGCGCATTTCCACCCATCACTTGAACATAGATGGGCGCGAACTATATCGGATAAAGTACATTACACTGCGGAGCCGCGCGCGACGTCTTCCATGAAATGTGGATCTGTTGACCCACACCCTAACAAACTGATATGGTTTACAATTGTTATATAAATACTAGGGTGCCAGAGTATCTGACGTCACAAAGGGGGCGGGCAAGTAATCGGTGGCACGTGACAATAGCGTTTCGCAAATCCTAAGCGATGAGTCACCGAATGCGCGTGACGTCACAGAAACGAAGAGCAGAAAGGCGGCATGAGAGGGTGTTTTAGTGGTAGGGAAATGGGTGCTAACTTAGTTGGGGGGGGGGCACGCGGCGGCGCGGCAGTCTGCTCACCTGGGCTCTCTCGAGCGAGACAGTGTAAACTCGAACATTCCAGCTTTTCACGCATGTCAAGTGACTGCCCCCACCCCCACCCCCTAGACTGCCTACACTCCCCCTGGCCCACGGATTTCCGAACATGCCAGGCGAGCAGACTGCCGCGCCGCCGCGTGCCCCCCCCCAACTAAGTTAGCACCGAAATAGTTGTGATGTGGTGAGTAATTTGGGGGATCTGAAATGGCACTAATGACGAAAAGTTGAGTAACCGCTCACATAACATGAAATGGAGTTCGTAACGGAGTTGAAGGAGGCAAAATATAGGAAGTAATTATTTAGGTTATCGAGCAATCAGGGCTTCTTTTTATCCACATCGATAACGGCCGCACAGCAGATACTAAGGGCTGGTGATTAGAGTCGCGATCCGCTCGCAGGTGTTCGCTCAGGCGATGTCCAGACTTTGTCGATCGCGTTCGCAAAAGTTGAATCCGGCTATGCGGTTGCGCGATATCGCGCAAAAAGGTCATCGGGCACACCGCGCTGAATCGCGCAAATCGCAAAAATCAGCAAAACCTACGACGGGTCGCGAACTGGCCGATGTCAGACTTTGCGATTGGAGCGATTTTGCACCAATTGCAGGAGCGACGGATCGCTTGAGCGATGCGAGCGACGGGAGATTTACGAACTGATGGCGCCGAATTATCGGTGGTCGGCGGTGTAAATCTCCCGTCGCTCGCATCGCTCAAGCGATCCGTCGCTCCTGCAATTGGTGCAAAATCGCTCCAATCGCAAAGTCTGACATCGGCCACTGGAACATGCGTAAGCTTCATTATACTGGGCGCCGGTCGAAGCGCATCGAATACGACTTAGCCTGACTGCTATCTATTACGATCGGCGCGACTATAACAGGCACGCGTCAGAATGTTAACCAATTGATCTTAGAAGCTTTTGTATCTTATATTGTGTGCAAATAAATAGATTACTTCACTCTGAACTTCAAGAAATGGAGGTCATGGCTAACAATTGATTTCAAGCAGATAAAGTAGCGAAGGTTTTATCAGCCACTTTGCAGAAAATGAGTTTATCCGAGCGTTGTATTTTTGGCGGACAAATCAGGGCAAATACTTCTTCTTTACATTATAAAAACTACAATAACCTATGAAATTTCAAACAGGATATGGTTACGTTTTGGCGCGCGTCCCCCAGGGGAAGTCCCAAAGTGCTAGGCCCTCATCTCTCGTTAGTTTGCACTAGTTCGCGGGTTTATTTTATAACATTGCGAGCTCACGATTTTTCTTAAAGAAGATGCGTATCGATCCTGCGATTTTGCGATCCTTACCTACACCACACGACCGCAAGTAGTGCAAGGAGTACGGGGAGTATGACAGCGTTAATGACTGCGGGCTTGGGGTAACTCGGAGAGAGAGGATTTAGCCAGACAGATAGGGCCTGCGCGAGATCCCTTCAAACTCGAGGGATATCGTAGTCTGCACAGCTACTACACCAGCAGCTGCATACCGCTCATGGACAACAGGGCACCAATACATGTTTTCGATTAGCTCAAATCTGATGTTATTCGGTCCAATAATGGGATTTTAGTCAGAATGTGTCACGCAAGAACGAATCGGTAATTATCACCGACTGATGCAGAAAGGAAAAAGGCCCAATCATAGACATGCTCCGGGTGGCCGTAAAGCGGCGAGCGAAGATGTTATGAGATTCCATGAGATTCCCCCTTCCCTTGCGAGAAAACGGAATTTACGGTGCAGCAGCTTGCCACTACATGCCCCTCCCAGTGGATAAGACCAAATGAATAGTTGAAAGATTATTCGAAAGATCCAAGGTATGGAGTTTGTTTTACAATACTAGCATGGCATTGACGAGTTTTACTGCACTATTTTATTGGAACGAAAGCAAAAAGCAATGCCCACCAATCACTACTACTTACAATCCCAAAATTTCACATTTTGTTTTCGTCGAATTTTGAGAGTAACTCCAAGCCTTGATTACGAAAATGTCATCCCATTTTTGACGCTGGCGCCAGTTGACGTCACTTTCTCACGAGTTGTTTTCGCTAAATTCGGTGTATACTTCTGTTGAGTTTATCTGGTATCCTGGTTACGGATGTGACATTTGCTTTTGACGTTGGCGGGGCTCAGCGCATATTCCGTTCTCCTGTGTTCTCTGACGTGTACATATTGCCTAATACTAAGGCTAGAGGGAAGTTGGGACGGACTCCGGGGTGGACCAACCACCGCGTGCAGCAGAAACTGAGGCGTGCGAGATCACAGGTTGAGTGGCTTACTCACATAGTAACTTCCTCTTCCTAAAGGATTAGTCCTCACCGCGATTAATCAGGGAGAGGGTGCAGACGAGCGGAAAATAACGGCGATAGCGCCACCGCGCATGGCAAAAATATTTACGTTCTCATCACGGCAGCATTATAACCTTGTGTTACAGCAGGAACTTGGTGAGCGAACAGCGAATGCAGCAAATGCACTAGCGCTAAAAATGAATGTAGTTTTTATTCAATGAGGCCGCGTTCATAGTTCGCGACTCGGGAGATTAGGATAGTAGGCGACAGGATATTAGGATAGTAGTAGAGTAGGAGATTGCGCTGACAAGATTGGATACGTATCGATTGAAATCGCTGGAGAGTAGTAGATTGGGCGACTTCAAGCGAATAGATCAATACATATCTAATCTTGTCAGCGCACTATCCTAATCTACTACTATCCTAATCTCCGCCAGTACAAATGTACTTCAATGTCGCGTACTATCCTAATCTCCAGAGTCGCGTACTATGAACGCGGCCTTACCTTGGTGAGCAAACCTTCAAAAGAAAATCGAAATTTCGAATTTGAAGTGTTGATTAACCGCAGAGATATATTATGGAACAGTCAAGCTTTGAAACATGTTCACGAATCGAGTTTGAGGATATCGATATTTTCAATGGCTAGCCTAAATCGAATAGCAGCACTACTTTCGCCCCAGAATAATGTGCCAACAAATACAGGTTGAGAAAACAAGTACGAGCCATAGCCAGAGAATGACCAACTTGAAATGTTAGTAGCTGCCAGATGACGAAATCGCGGAAACATTGAGTAAACGGCCAACCATGGCAAATTTCAGAACAAATTCTACGGCGGGATGAATCATGGGAATACCACCACTTGAACACCTTCCAGAGAAAGTTGGCTGAATTAAACGGTAAATAGGAGGAAAATGAGCTGTGGAGGAATGGATGAGAAAGGCCGCACACGGCGTGCAGCCGGTGCAGACTGATTGAGCGCCAATGAGACGATTTCGAATCGAATGCTGCTTGGCGGCCCGCCCAAAACGCCATTGCGCATGTCGAAGGGGTTCCACGCAGTTTTCCCGGGTTTTGGCAAATGTTCAGCTGATTGGGAGACCGGGCGCGTATTTTTTTCGTTGGAGAATTTGGTGCTCTGTATTTTGTGTGGGGTTGATGCACGCAATCCAAAAAGTTAAAGGGGCCCGGATTTTGTTTAGAATGGCACTGTTTCTTGGTAAATTCGTCAGAATGCGGATTATCGATTTGCAGGTGTTTTGCATTTGCAGTCTCAAATGGGTTGCTAATCTCTGTCCCACACGTAAATAGCTTAATTAAGGGCACTTTTGCTAGCAGTTGTTTTCTGAACAGATATGCAATCCAGAGTTTGACCACAATTATAGTGCCGCCATATAACTACAACTGTAGCTTAGAAACCTTTCTCAGGTTCAGATATCTACTAAGACAATTTAAGTTATGGGGTTTAAAGCCCGAATATACGTAGAAACAGATGGTGGTGATTAATAAGCGATCCGCATACATTACTGGGTGTTATTTGTTCCTCGAACGAGGTAGTGTTGTCACAGAGTCATAGTGTTTTCTAAACAAAAACAAGATGTTATCGTGAAGGCTTCAGCGAGATCGACTTATCGTAGATCGTTTTTTCTGTTGTTTTTTTTTGTTGTCTCCAGCATCTAAGAGTGGTCCATCAATGGTTGAGCTTTAGAACGATTTGCATTGTTCATGTAACATTCATTTCATCGTAGGTACCTCGTGTGATATGCTCTGTTTCAATGTTCAAAGCTTCCAATAAGTAATTCTAATTTCAGGCTAACAATGGGTAAGAAAGAGAAACACGTGAAGGTTGACGTTGGGGTGAGTTACTTCATCATTCATTTTTCTTTTTCATCCCATCTCTCCAATTGAATTTGGAAAGTTTCTCATGGTATGCTTATGGGACTAGTTTAATTAATTTCGAAATGTGGTTTCTGATTCGAGAGTGATTTCGTGCTCTGGGTCCGGCTTATTTTTGTTATGAATTTGTTCCCATGGGCTTATGTTTATGTATCTTCGGGAAATACCGGTGATTAGAATTTGTGAGACTCATGGAAATGCCGTAAAATTTTCAACTAATTGTCAACTTTCGCAATTTGCTCTATGCACTTTCACCTACTTTTCCATACATAAACATTCCCAGCAAGAAGTAAAGTAGTTAAGGAGGAGATATTATGAAGTAATTGGGGAGTGCGCCCCAAAGAGCACTTTTAAGTTGTTGCAACTTTATGTTTGAAGCCCTCTTCTGTGTATTGGTTGAGCTCCTGAAACTCTGCAATGGCTTCAAATGCATGAAATATACAAAACAGCCATAGAATGATGCGCTCAATTTTCAACGGCTTTCAGAAATACCTCAAGTTATTCATATTCCATATTTGGAAAGAATCTGCAGCGTTCCCAACAGCTTCCATCTGCATGTGAAACTTGAAATTTCGTTTCTACTATTTGATCTGATTTTGCAGGAAGAGCAGGAGAAAGGCACGTTCCATCTCAAGCCATCTACTGCTGAAGCCGAGTTTGAAATCTCAAGAATGGCCATTACTGTTGAAGGTTTCTTCTTTCCTCTATTCTTCATGTATTCCGTGGAATTTAAATTATTTTTTAAAAAAAAACGGTATTATTGCAGAATTTCGACAACATGAATGTACGAACTAACCATTACACCCCTCTTCCTGAAGGATGTTCCCCATTGAAAAGGGAAATCAAGAATTACATATCGTCTGGTTTTTTCAATTTGGACAAACCGGCGAATCCGTCGTCTCATGAGGTTGTGGCTTGGATTAAGCGCATCCTTCGAGTTGAAAAAACAGGCCATAGTGGTACTCTGGACCCTAAGGTTTGTTTGATTTTGCTGGCGGTTTACACTGTTTGATACTCCTGAGGCTATGCACCTCCAGGTGTCTGGATGTCTCATCGTATGTATCGATCGTACTACTCGGTTAGCAAAATCTCAGCAAGGTGCAGGTAAAGAATACGTTGCCATCTTCAAACTTCATAATGCTGTAGAAAGCGAAAAGAAGATAAGGCAAGCACTGGAAAAGGTAAGCGTATTCCTACACTTTTTCGTGTTATTTCTGTAGCTGTCCGGTTTCAGTATATATTTTTTAATAAAAAATGTCAATATGCCTTTTAGTTAACCGGTGCTCTGTTTCCAACGTCCTCCACTGATCTCAGCCGTAAAGCGCCAGTTGCGTGTGAGAACAATTTATGAGAACAAGCTCCTTGAATATGACAAAGAGCAGCAGATGGGAATCTTCTGGTGCGTTCTTTTAGTGTTGTTTCTTGGTAAGTGATTCTCTAGGTAAATGCAGTGCATTCCTTGTGCATGAGAATAGTTTTCTATCCCTAATTGTTGAACTTACTGCTCCCAAGACCCTTCTGTTTCCGAGAGCTCTCTGACACAGGTTTTGGGAGCATCTCAGCGTGACAGTGACCCTGATGTCAATTTTTTGTGAAAACCGATGAGCAGCAGGTTTCGCGATTTTTTCCATCATTGGCCATGGTCGGCTCGAAGAAGTGATAGAAGTGTAACTGTCGTGGGAAATCACGTTCACTACACCTATTTTTGCCTGCGTAACTCGGTCAAAACAAGATTCTGCTCAGCTGTTTTGTGAATATTATCCTTAGGTGGCTAACTATGACATTAAAAGACTGCAGTCATTTCTAACACCTTGGTGGGTAATAACTTCTGGTCGCTCAAAGATGACAGTCAGGAGTTCAGCTGAAAGCATTTTGAACCAATGTGGTCGTTAGCGTATTACGTGAAAGAGAACACTCTCGTTTTTAGGCTCTTGGAAGTTTGAATCATTTTCAGAGTAGAAGCAAATTGTGAGACACAGTGAAATTTTGCAGTACGTAGTTGTCCTACCTGATGCACTTGAGTAATGGGAGTAAAAAGAACAAAGCTATTTTTGGTCGTAGTTTTCTTACACTTGGGGGTCATCGTGGTCATTCTGGGTGGTTTTTCGGAGATTTCTTTAAACTTCGATTTCTTGGAGCCCGATAGCCCTTACGCAAGTGATAAAGCGATAAAATTCTCGCTTAGTTTGTTCTTATTACGAGCATTTTGAGTAGTGCGCTTCTAGTAAATTAATATTTTTTGTCTACCTTGGAGAATTTTTCAACACATTGACGACAGCCCCTTGTGCATGTACCTCGGCACATCTTTGCTTATTTTTTTTTGTTTGATGCACAGTATTTCGCAAGAGGTAATGCATGCACACTTTATAAAATATAAAAAATGCCAGATAAATTGAAAAAAAGCCAAAACGGATCAAATTGAGACGCGCAACCGCGTCACACTGTCCTCAATGTGTTAATGTCGTTCTCCAATCTTTGTAAGATCTCACGAGAATGCTAGTTATGAACAAAACTTTTGCCTCAGGCGGGACTCGGACCAGCGAGAGGTGCGGGCTCGAGTGTTGCTTCTGACGCAAGTTTTGTTCATAACCCAGCATATTGTGAAGACTTTCGCAAGGTAAACTGCGGCAAAAACAGCAATTAGCAATCAAGAATTTTCTTTGATATTTTTTCTTCCGGTCAATTCAGGCTTTTGCAGGGTGAAATGTGAATCGGGAACATACGTCAGAACGATTTGTGTACATCTTGGTCTTTTACTTGGAGTAGGTGCGCAAATGCAGGAGTTACGAAGGAATCGGTACTGTTGTTGTGACGCCTACCGATTGGTATTCTTAACCAGTTTCTGTTATTTGTAGTCAGTACCCTGTATAAATTATTATTTTAGATCCGGAATCACTGATGAGCACGACCAGCTCGTGACAATGCACGATATATTAGACGCTCAGTACGTTTTGGACCATCACAAGGTGAGAATATAGTCCTTGTTTCGGCTCGAATGAAATTAGTCTTTGTTTGTGAAGACCTTTCTGGTACAAGTAGTCAAGAGCCGCCAATTGACTTGCTGTTAAGGACGAAACTTACATGCGCCGAATAGTTCGACCACTAGAAGCGTTACTAGTGGAACACAAAAGGATAATCGTGAAGGATTCTTCGGTAAGTTCTCGGTCAGGTATCACTGAGTGTGCACTGGAGTTCATTGATTTAGGTGAACGCGATTTGCTATGGAGCCAAAATACTTCTTCCTGGTGTCTTGCGATATGACGACGGTATTGAAGTCGGACAGGAGATCGTTATAGTCACAACGAAGGGAGAGGCAGTCTGCATCGGTATGTCTAGATAGTTTGTTATTAGGATTATTCCATATTTTTCCTTTCTGAAACTGGATGAATTGTGAAGTGCGGAGGAGTAGCAAGGTGTGTCCTCTTAGGAACGACCAAAACATCATCATAGCATAGGTGTATTTGTAGGATGGACTTGTTTTGGAAACGATAATCTTTGAATTCGATAAGCGGTCCGGGGCGAGGGATGGGTATGGAAGAGGGTATATGTGAACGCTAGTCGAAACAGAACAAGTCCAAAATGTCTGTTCAACTTCTCGAATCCATAATTTCATGAAAATTTCTAAAAGTACTTTGGAGCTTTCAAAAAATCCTAAACTCTGGCTAATTATTCTACCCTTCACTAGCATGCAATGCCGATTCCACCGAAAACAGCCTTCTCCCGTTCCACCCGCATCGAGGAATCCTCGTTCTTGGCCTATGCCTGCATACAGTTATGATCGAGAGAAAAAGGGAAAAGTGATGTTCACGCCGTCATAGGCTGCAGCTAAGATCATTCTTAGCTCACAAATGGAAAAAATGAACTGCAAGCAAGCATTGTTTCTGACGCCTTAAGTGATTTGATTATTTGCAGCCATTGCGCAAATGACCACTTCAACAATGGCGTCCACAGACCATGGTGTGGTAGCGAAATCGAAGCGTGTCATTATGGAGCGTGATGTGTACGGCCGTAAATGGGGCTTGGGGCCAGTCGCTATGAAGAAGAAGCAGATGATTAAGGTTCTTCCTAACCCCTTATGATTTTTAATCTTGATTTCCTGTTTCGTATTTAACCAGAAATCCAATACTGTTAGAAGTCCCTAAATATTTTTAGGATGGGCTCTTGGATAAGTTGGAAAACCCAACCCTAAGACGCCCGCAGACTGGAAAGTCGTCGATTATTCAGCAGTGAGTAGATTTTCCATTCTGAAATTTTTATTGAAGAGGTGATTTATATTGATACGCGCGGTACGTGTGTTGATCATTTGTTGTATTGTGGAGCATGGTTTTGATTTATGTCATTTTTCCATGTTTTCTCACAACCAGTTTTACGAAAGGGTTCGGTCAATACACCAGCACATCTTTCTTCCGTCACACCTTCCGGATGTGGGGGTCCCATGGAGGCCCTCAACTCACGGTCGCCTTGTTTACACTCGAACCCGTTCTTTGTTCCACAAAGCCGGAGCTTGTAACGCAAAATGATGCAAACAAATTCATCGCTATATTATCCCTTCTCTTCCTCTTTTCTAAAATCAAAGTTTAGTTCAATATCACCAATCCTCATGCGATAAGTTGCTGACGTGTTAGGCTAATATGTGACGAACAGTAAATGCGATAATGTTATCGACAGAAAACGAAGAGAGGAAACGACAAAGACCTTGGCAGCACTGCCGTTCCCCCACGATGTGGCTTCTCTTCCACGTAAATATTATCTTCGCCGTTGTCACCGCTCGCCGAATACGCGACAGGAAATGATTTGTTAACCTTGCGCGAGTTCACTTCTGATGCCTCTCCTCTCATCACGCAAAGCTACATATAAGCTATTATGTAGTATTATGCTCAAGTTCTCGTTTCGAAAAATAAGTCTGACATTCACTTTTTGTGAGATTCTTTAATCACATTTATTATACATATCGAAATGTGCTGGAATTGAGTACTTTAATTAACTGATCGATACAGCGAAAAACAGACCTGAAGAAAAAGAAGAAAAGGATGATGCGACGTTAAGTTCACCAAAGGCCAAGAAACCGAAAGTTGTTGCTAAAGTTGCGCAAAGTAGCAGCAGCACCTCATCAGATTCCGAATAGAAGTGTCGGGGAAGTTGAACGTTTTTGTTGTGATTACAACGTCTTATCATTGTTGTTTATAGCACTCGTATTGTATATTGTTTATTGAAATATCCATATCCTTGAAGTTTCTCTCGCAATAGCCACACTTACCTAACCCTGTTAACTTGGTTAATTATGATGTTGTGGCTCTTCTGAAAAGGATGTTGAAATAAAAAAGACATGGTCCCAGCTGCTCCTCAAAGTGTCGTTGAAAGTTAGCGGATACTGCCAATCCTATACTACAGCAATATTTTCTTACAAGGATGCAAAGTTCCCATTTTGGGGGGTTGTTCGTTGTGAGGAGGGGGGGGGGGAGAGACATCTCTGTGAGTGAGCCACTTACAGTGCATGGGAGTAAGCTACAGATCAGGTGAAGACATTCTGGAAAGAGACGTAAGCAATTTTGTGCTCCCTGGCGGTTCTACCCTTTCCGGTGCTTACTCTCAAGGTGATACCTACTGTCGGCCGTGTTTCAATGTCCCCTCCCTCGCAAGGCCACGAGCGCCCTATTTTGTTTAAATCTCCTATTTTAAAGCAAGAATGACCTTCATTATATAATCCATATCTCGAAGTATAATTTCGCGTTTTCGCTACGGGACCAAAGTGCAGGAGGATCCCGTAACGATACGGTGCAACGCGGCGACGCGCCCAAATCGTGGTCGGATATACCCGGGGCGTGCCCAACGGAAAAGCACACATAGCGATATAAGCAGTTTGCCGATTTGCTAAGTGACGGTTGCCCCGGGACTTTTGAAACCCTGTGCTGCGGTATTCATTCGGGGAAGTGCCCCAAACCTCTGCGTCCCTACTCTGAACGGTGTTTCCGTCCTCACATAACTGGTGCAGCAAGCCCCGGTGAGGGAATTGGTCCCCTCACCCCTTACTCGTCAATCTGTCGCAGAAATGCCCCACACCGAAATGCAGCATGAGACTTCATGTGTTTCGCCACAGGGCTCATCATTTTTCAATGGCAGACCCTTCACGTCTTCCGTCGTAGAGGACAAGCCCCCTGTGCCTCGACTTGGGGCATGAATCCCCGACTGGCGGAGACGCAGAGAGTTGACGTCAATGACCGTTCTGAATGGTCGTACCATAAAACTCGTCGAAGAAAGATGGGTGCTAACTTAGTTGGGGGGGGGCCACGCGGCGGCGCGGCAGTCTGCTCACCTGGGCTCTCTCGAGCGAGACAGTGTAAACTCGAACATTCCAGCTTTTCACGCATGTCAAGTGACTGCCCCACCCCCCACCCCCTAGACTGCCTACACTCCCCCTGGCCCACGGATTTCCGAACATGCCAGGCGAGCAGACTGCCGCGCCGCCGCGTGGTCCCCCCAACTAAGTTAGCACCAAGATGGGTGCTGTGATGAAACCCTTGAACGGTCTCGCTGGGTCAAAGGAACCTCTCTATCAGTACTGAGGCTGAGTCTGCAACCGAAGAGGGAATACCACGCTCGCGACCTGAAAT